TACCATCACCTACTTTTCACGATTAATTAATAAGATTATGACAGTAGAATTTTTTCACCTTATAGGGAGGAAACATTTTTTTTTTTTTTTTTTTAACCAAGAGTCAAAATAATTTATTTCATCATTCCAGATGATGATAAACCACAACTGATGTGGCAGTAAGTTGATGTCTTCACAGAAAATTAAAAGGCATTAAAATAAGCTGCAACGCTTATTATTTTAATCCAATTTTACTTATTTTAATACATTTTGGTATTAAAATAAGACAAAATTGGATTAAAATAATAATCGCTCTATAAAATAATTTATAATTTTGTTTCCTTAAAATGATTACATAAAAGTAATTTTATTTTAAAATAACCTGGCGCAATTTTTTTGATGTAAAATTTTGGTACTATTTTGAATAAGAAAATTAATTTTTTTTTTTTGTATTTTAGTTAATTTTTTTTAAAGGTATTATTTTCATTTACAAAATAGTCTTTGGTGCGCATTGCTGTCGTTTTTTTGCCTTTTATAGTGATCGACTATTTGGTGCGCATTGCTTTTGTTTTTTTTTGCCTTTTGCAGTGATCAATTATTTGGTGCGCATTGCTTTCGTATTTGGTCTTTCTGTAGCGATCAAATCTTTGGTGCGCATTGCTTTCAGTGTATAGTCACCGTCAGAGTGCGCTACATTTTACTTTAATATCTTAATAATTGTATACCCCTTGTTCAAGGTTTTAAGTATATTCAATGTGATTGAAATTCGTTGTTTACATCGTTCTCTCGTTACAGTAGTCATTGATGTTTTTGAAACAAGTCGAATTTTCTTTCACTCTGTTTTAATCAGAAATTGACATTGAGATCAATTTTATTCATATATTCACAGAAAATTAAAAGGCATTAAAATAAGCTGCAACGCTTCTTATTTTAATCCAATTTTGCATATTTTAATACCAAAATAGATTAAAATAAGCAAAATTGGATTTAAATAATATAAGCGTTGCAGCTTATTTTAATGCCTTTTAATTTTCCATGTTAGTAAAAAATAAATATTCTATTTGCTAAGTCCTCTTTAGATTGAAAGTGAAAAAAAAGTTATCACACATTTGGACACTAGATGCGCTCTTACTTAGTTTCAAGTTTATACAAAAAAGTTGGCGAAGTGGTTCTTAAAATTAATAAAAAAAAAAAAAAGAGATAAGTTGTTGGATATAGAGAAGCTCTTTCTCTCTCTCTTCTTGAAAACTAATCAGAATGATGCTTGAGAGCGAGAAGAAACGCAAAATCTTAAAGGTTTTTTTTAAGTAGGGTGTGGGTGGCAAAAAAAGAAATAAAGAAAGAAAGTTTCCCCTCGAGCCGAGGCAAATATCGCGAAAAAGAGAGCACGGGCAAATAAATGACAAGCGAGCAACGACTACATCGTGTTTTATCGAATCAGCCAACTTTCCTTGCGCTTGAACAAACTTTGAATTAGATTTCCCTGATAGCATCTCTGCCAAGGTTCATCTTTTAATAATGTTCACTGAATAAAATACAAAAAAAAAAGAGAATGAAAAAACTAGATATAGCTTGAATAAAGTGGAAATAAATTTCATCATAATTAGAAAAAAAAAAAAAAAAAAAATCAGACAAATGTAAGTTACATCCAGTGGGAAATTTACCATTGGAACAATTTTGTATAAAATTTTTTTTTAAAAATTAGCAATGTGAAACTTAATTGTATCATGCTTTAAAATAAAAAGAACTCACCGATATTGATGATGTCCTAATATAAAGGGTCCAGCTCCTCTTCTTTCTTGAGGCCCTAAAGCAACTTTAAGAATAAATCTTAAGACCAGCAGAAATAGCTTATCTTCAGATTTACCATTAAAGAGGCAGCCAAGAAGTTTGTAAATAGCAAAACAAAACGTGCCGCAAACTTTTTGAATATTATTTTATTGGTTAGAATAAGCCACACTTTTTTTAAACACTCAAAAAAAAGATGTATTATAAAAAAAATGATTTTATACATTTAAAAAAAAAAAAAACTTTTTAGATACAAATTTTTCAATATTAAGGTAAAATTTCATTGTAGGCAAAAAATTAAAATTAAAATTAGAACAATTTTAATTTATTAAAACAGAAAATAATTCTTTATAAAAATCCAAATTAGTTAAATATATAACCAAATATATAAGCAATATTATTGTACTATTTGGAAAAAATTAAATTATGCATTTTAATAAAATTATTTCTTTAGTTTTAAGAAATATTCTTATTTTAAAATCAATTACGGATGCCTTCTATATAGAAAGGGTCCGCTTCACATATAGAACGCCCCATATATTATACAAAAAAATTAGATATGAAAAATATTTTTTAAAATTTTTTATTAAAATTACCATGAGAGAAAGTGCAACTTATGTCAGACTAAAAAAATAAATTTCAAAAAGAATGTGCAGTTAGGAATGCGTAACCCTCGTCTTATCCCACTAGCGGGTCGATGGCTAAATAGCCATCAATGCAAAGATCCACAAGGAAATATAAAACCGTGTTGCCAAATGCATGATTCATTATATTTCTCAAATCAATCCAGTGATTAGTAGGTGACAAATTATATGATCATTGCATGTGACAATCAGGGCTAAACATTGTCGCAAGTAAAACTTTACAGATGAGATGAATAAACTTTTACATAAATTGGTTTTATTTATGAAAAATTATATTCAACATTCAATAAGACGTTTTCGAAAGTTCTTGGCATAATGATTTCGACTTAGCCCTCCCACCCCCCCCTCTCTTCCCAATTTAAAAAGAAACTTTTTAGAAAAAAAAAAAAAGACGATCGCGATTTTAAATTGTAATTCGAACGCGCGCGTAACGAATTGTCTTGTGAATAACGAAAGACAAACAACGGAAACGAATTTAGAAACACCCTAAATACGTTCGCGATTGTAAAATTTGTGAATTAACACTCCCGAAGCTAATTTTTAAATCCGTCACGACACGTACAGCGGTATCCGTATCTAACGAGAAGAAAAAAAAATATATATATTATTATTAAACGACCGTCACTTTCATTAAGTTCGAACACTCCCGTAAAATATAAAAAAATTTAATGATTCCGTACTGTTGGCCTGAAACAAAAAAAATAAATTTAGTTAATAATTAAATTTTTTTAATTAATTACACAAAATAATTATTTTAAATCACATAAGGAATTTTAAAATTTTTTCCTATTTGGAGATTTTGTTTCCTTAAAATAAAGGCATTTTTTTTTAGATGGTGCATATTTTTGGTTGTATATAATTTTCGGTACTATATATGTGTCCATTGAATGATTCTAATTTTTCTATAAAAATTGTAATTAACCATCAATTCTAATTACTACTATAGTTTCTAATGACCATCATCATTTTAAATTACCATCGCTTGTAATTCCTAATGTTTCCTAATAATCATCAATTGTAAATTCAGTTTGTTAATTGGCATTAATTAACATTACTATACTGTTCGGTAAGATTAGACAGATACTCCTAAATTATCACTGGTTTTAGTATTAAAAAAAAAAAAAAAAAAAAAAATAGGGTAAGTGTACCAATTACGGCGCTAAAAAATAACTATTATTACTATTACACACGAAAAAAAAAGTAGAATTTTTACCCCAAAATCGGTATAAAAATTACCTGCAACAAATTTTATCCTAGTTGAGGGCGCCACCGTCTATGTGAATTAGCATTGGAGAAAATTACCCGCAACAAAATTTACCCAGAGTTTTTTCTGTGATATATTTAATATAACATATTATGATATATACATATATAATATAACATATTACATAATGATACTACATGCACATATTTCAACATAAATAAGACTAATTAATAAACAATTTACTATTTAAAATAGACAAATAATAATAAATTAATAAAAAAAATATTCTCTGCTGAAAAGCGACTGGGGCTGCTGGCTATTAATTTTTTCCAAAAAAAATTCTTGCTGATAAAAAACTTGCTAATAAACATTCCGAGAAGGTTTTCCAACAAGAAAATCAAAAATTTCGAATTTTACTCCATTTTCCATTGTTCTCAACCCTTTAATCCCCTAAAACAATGGAAAATGGAGCATTTTATGCATTTTAACCCTTTTTTCTCCATTTCCCATTGTTTTAGGGGATTAAAGGGTTGAAAATAATGGAAAATGGAGCATTTTTCAAAAATTTCGAATTTTACTCCATTTTCCTTTAATCCCCTAAAACAATGGAAAATGGATTTTTTTTTTTTTAAATTATTTTAATCTTTTTTTTGGATACAATTACTAATTACTAATTACAATTACTACAATTACTAATTCTCATATTTGTTTAAATAATCGAATTTTAAAAAAGTAAAATTTTTTTTTTTAATATCTAAATAACATAACCTTTTAGTTTAATAAGTCTTCAATTTAGGTTAAATGTCCCAATTATAGTGTGATGTACAATCCAAGACCGACTATAATGATAAAATAATAAAATTGTAAATGAAATAATGATTTAATTCTTTTTATTAAATCACTATTAGTGTCTATTGAAATAGAAACGATACTTTAAACTTGAAGAAATAACAAATATATATATATTTTTAAAAATATTAACTTTTTTAAAAATGGCATATGCTGGTATTACTGCAAGTTTGCATGAATTACTGCGAATGGTGTGCATCAATTACTGCAACGCTAAAAGCGTTGATTTAGAGGTTAGGTTGACTGGCTAGACCACAGTAACAGCAGAATGCGAAAATTACTAAGTTTTTCTAATTTTATAAAAATCGCAGTAATTGGCGCATCAGCAGTAATTGATACACTTACCCTACTTTATACAATAGAAATGTTAAATTTTCTATTTCAAATAGGTATTTTGACTCGAATCGCGCCGTAATTAGTACATTTATCCTATATAAAAATATCAAAAAATTGATTTTAGTTGCAAAATTTCCCTATACAATCAATAATAATTGATATCAAAAAAATCATAATTTTTATTCTTTTTCTGATTTTAGTATACAGATTGGGAAAACGCGACCGATGATTATATGTATCAAAAAATGGTAGCTGACGCTGTTGGCGATTATTTCTTCATATGTCCATCAACTCATTTTGCTCAACTTTTTGCTGATCGTGGCATGAAGGTCTACTATTATTTTTTCACACAGGTATGTCAATAATAAAAAAAAAAAATTTATTAACATATTTAAATGTTAAAATTTTTACTCGCAGAAATATATAGTATAAAATTTATTATGTCCGGAATATAATTTTTACTATTTCAGGAGTAAATTTTACTATTTCAGGAGTAAATTTTACTATTTTTGGAATAAATTTTACTATTTCAGGAGAAAAATTTTACTATTTTTGGAATAAATTTTACTATTTCTGGAGTAAATTTTACTAATTTTGGAATAAATTTTACTATTTGTGAACATAACCTTAAAATTAGGTCAAATATCGCAGGTCAAGAGGCGAACATAACCTCAAAATTAGATGAAATATGAAGCTCCCCCACTCCCCCACCCCCTCCCCTACAAGACCTACGACCCATAGAGGTCATAGGTCAAGAGGCAAACATAACCTCAAATTATGATGCTCCCCCACCCCCCTCTCCCGCAAGTCAGTGGCCATAGGTCAAGAGGCAAACATAACCTTAAAATATGATATTCGGGAAATCGAGAGTCGAACATAACCTCAAAATCAGGCCAAATATCACAGTTGAAGAGGCGAACATAACTTCAAAAAATAGGTCACATGTCAAGAGGCAAACATAACCTCAAAATATGATGGTCGAGAGTCGAACATAACCTCAAAATCAGGCCAAATATCACAGTTGAAGAGGCGAACATAACTTCAAAAATTAGGTCACAGGTCAAGAGGCAAACATAACCTCAAAATGAGTTTAAAATGAGGTCAAATGTATCAGGTTAAAAGGCGAACATAACCTAAATTAAGTCATTTAATAAATTAAACAACAAATATAGTAAAATATTTTATATAAATGTATATAAATATCACTTTATATAAATATATCGAACATTTGAATCGATAAAAAAAAAAATTTTCATGAATATCCATCATTAGATGTCGAGTTATATATTCGTTAAATGGAGGGAGAGAAAAAACAATGGGCGTTGTTGCGGGTTATGAGTATAAGTGAATTATAGTTCCGCTTCGATGAGGTTTATTATTCTTTATTCATGAAATTGCTCACGTGACCTGTCACTTTCCTATATAAGAATTTTCCAATCCGGCACTATTAATACACACACACACACACATATATATATATATATATATATATATATATATATATCTAAACTGATATAACATTAATGGACACGAAAGTAACAATATACCTTTTATATCAAATAAAGTGCTTGTTAAAAAAAGTGGCATATTAATTAAGGTCATACCAATTTCTATTTTGTGTGGAGAAAATTAAATTTTCCTTTCGCAAATGAAATATAATGGCAAAAAAAAGGAGATCAGATATATTCAAAGTGATTTTAATTATAGTATTTGACAATTAGATATTTGTATATTTTCGATAGATTCACCGATAATTGTGAAAAATTAATAAATCTCTAATTTTAGTTTAGTTTTTGATATTTTCAATTTTTTTATACTAAATCAAATTTTTAAGAAAAAAAAAGTCTTTATATGATTGTCGTCGTTGAATATAAAAAAAACGAGAGAATCGTATTCCTCTTTGGATAAACATTTTGTCGTAAAGTTTACGGATTTACAATGTCGTTATATTGTTGGAAAGAAACGAGAAAACGTAGGGATGAAAAAAAAAAAACATTTACGATACTGACGAGGTGCTAAAAAATATCCCTCTCATCGTTAATCTTCCCTTTATCCGCACGACTATATATACACAAGTGTTAACACGTATTAAACTGAAGGCAGTTTCAATTGAAAAAAAAATTTTTTTTTAAATATTTCCTTTTTTTTTCATAATTCATAGGATTTCGAAAAAATTTTCGACACGTAATTTTTTGTCGGTTTGCATTTTTTTTTTTTTTTTTTTTTTTTTCGGTACAAATGTTGGAAAAACGGAACTTCCTTTAAAGTAAATTCTACATCCTCTCATTGCACTCCAGTAATCAAATTAGAAGGACTAATTAGCAAAGGGAAACTGGTTTCCGTTGAAGAAAATTCTTTTTATTTTTTTTTTGGACTAGCAAATCAGCAAAAAGGCGGCAATCAGGTGACGGGATTTCTCTTCGAAATTTCTATATACAGAAGGGAATTTTCTCGTCAGGATTTTTTTTTCATTCTATTAAGATCAAGATTTCTTTGAGGTTTGGTTAGACAAATCTTTTTAGCAGAAATTTCACGTTCTAATTGATTTGAATATTTGACATTTATAAATTTTTTTCTTCTAAATAAATTCTAAAGGTTTACAAAAAAAAAAAAAAAAAAAAATTTCCTAAAAGAAAAAATACATTTGTCAAAGAGAAATATATTCTTTTTAGCCCAAGATTTTTTTTCCTCGAGTAATAAATCGTAATTTTTATTACGAAATGACAAATATAGGGTCAGCCGGGGTAAATCCGAACGCTAATTATTTCAGCTTAAAATTTAAAAAAATAAGTTAGACATGAGAATTTTTACCTCAGATCCTCTTCAAGAGATTCTAAGTATTATCCCATTTTTCGTTTGTTAATTAGCAACAGCATAAACAAAGATAACGAGTAATGCAAAAAAGATTGAAAATCAAAGATGCGACATTCTTTCAGTATTTTGTCTCGAATTTGAAGAAAAAGAAGCTAAAAATTCATTTTATTATCTATAATTGTTTGTTATGAATACTAGAACAGAAACTATTTTTCATTTTTGCCTTCTGTAAAATTTTATTAATAAAATCAGACCGTTCGTATATTTACCCCGGAAAATTTGGAAAACCGGGGTAAATCCGAACGGTATTTTCAATAATTTTTTCTTATATCAAAAAATTGTTTTTATTTCATTACACTATTATTTTAACATTATAAAAGTACATAGAAAAAAGTTTTTCTTTCTATATGTATCCTCGTTATACCCAGGTGAAACGATTCTACGGAAACTATTCCACGGAAATTCCACACGGAATTCCGTAAAAATTATATACGGAATTCGGCAAAAATTTCCGCAAAATTTTTGAAAGAAGTTCTTTTGTAATTTTGCGAATTTTTTTATAAGAATTACACACATAATCTCTATACAGAATTGCACAAAATTTTTGTTGGAATTGCACAAAATTTTTGTTAGAATTTCACAACTGTACACTGAAAAAAATTTAGCCGAAATGCTCAACTACCTTTAGTTATAACTGACTTGAAAGTAGTAAAAGTAACTACTTTTTTGGTTATTTTAACTATGTGCGTGTAGTCAATTTAACTATTTTTTATGGAGTTAAGAATTAGTAGTTAACTGTACTTAACAAAAGTAGTTAAATCAACTTCAAAAATTAGAACAATTACAAAATCTCCTTGACCCAACTAAATTCTTAGTTCTTTTAACTACTTTTTAATATAGTCCATACAACTTTTTAAATTCAGTTAAGGACCTATTGAACTATGCAGGGTAGTTAAAAAGTAGTCAAATCTACTAGTTTTTTTATTGAGTGTATTTTTTTACTGATTTTTTTGTAATTTTAAAATAACTGCTGGTGGATACACTGAAAAAAAATTAGTCGAGAAATTCAACTCACCGTTAGTTAGTTGACTGAAAAATAGTAAATTTCTTTTTGGAAAACGTTTTATTGACCTCTCAAATAAGTTCGACTAGATATTAATTAATCTATCATAAATTCTATATTATATCCACCAGGAACATCATCGCGTCGACTACTTTTCGTTATAGTAGCAGCAGTTATTTTAAAATCACAAAAAAATCAGCAAAAAATAAAGTTGTGGAATTTTATTGAAAAAATGTTGTGCAATTCTGTATGGAATTCTTCCAAAAAAAAATTCGCAAAATTACGAAAGGAATACTTTCAAAATTTTGCGGAATTCCGTATAGAATTTTTGCGGGAATTTCCGTATGGAATTTCCATGGAGTGATTTCCGTAGAATCGTTTCATCTGGGTAGTAATTAATAAGCAGAAACTTAATCTCTATTCTCAAGAAGGAGTGTTCCACTTTTTTTTTTGCCAAAAATGGTTTGTTGAAAAAAGTTTTTCAGGATCTTAATAAAATTTGCCATTCTAGGGTTTTTGGGGTCGCTGATTACCAAATTTGAAGTCAGTTTTTCAAAATTCAAAATGGCGGACGAGAATTAAAAAATTCATTGGATTCGCTCGAAAATTGTTACTCGGGGGGTTTCAGGGTCTCGCTGATTACGAATTTGGAGTTAGCAAATTTTGATCATTTTTAAAAATAAGTTTTAGGAAAGTCCGCCATTTTGAATTTAAAAAATTTCACTTTTATTTTTGTATTTACATTCAATCACTCCAAAATACTTTCTGTAGCAAGTTTTGCAAAAATCCGTTATGATTTGACAAAAGTTATTGAAGGTTTTAATTGTGTAATGCATTTTAATTTTTAACCTGTTTGATTTTTGTATTTGTATATGTATGATGCATTATTACATAATAGGTTTATTATCGTATTTTTTTTGAGTTTTTATATAAGTTTAACAATTGCAATACTTTAAATTTATTTTCCCTAAGATTTTTCTGAAATACAGTGCGGCGTTCGTATTTACCCCGTTATTTTAGGAAAGTTGCAAAGTATTCGAGGTAAATCTAAGTTTCCTGCGATTGTAATTTATCAAAAAATTTTTGCTACCCCATAAAATTGTTCTATGGAAGTAAAGTAACAACTTCATACACCAGAATATACCGGAAGTATTGTCTTTTAAAAGAAAAAAACTTATGTTATTGTTGAAACTTACTTCGGATTTACCCCGGCTGACCCTACTATACAGAATTTTTAATTTAACCGAAAAATCATTTAACAGAATTTCTAATTGATAGAATTTTCATTTGTCTGAAATTGCAAATGACCGAACAAACAATCGATTTTGGGGCGATTTTTAAAATCAACCAATCAAAATTTTATGGGCTTATTTTTTATTTGGTTGATTTTAAAAATCGCGACAAAATTGATTGTTTGTTCGGACAAATGAAAATTCTATCAATTAGAAATTCTGTTAAATGCGATTTTTCGTTTAA